ATCCACCTCCAACACAGCCTCTTCTGGGACCTCCTGGGCTCCAGCCGCTGTCCTCTGAAGATTACTGATTCTTTCCTTCCCCACAGCCATTTGCTTCAGGGGACCCCTAAGATGTTTTTTAAGACACAGCTTGACCATCGTTTCTTACAATTTCTGTTTTGAGATAGGGTCTCACCCCATGGCCCAGGCTGGCCTGGAATTCATTTCACCAACCAAGTTGTTCTTAATCATTACAATCCTCTTGCCTCAGCCTCCTGGGTGCTGGGATTCCAGGTGTGAGCTACCATGGGCAGCTTCTTCCTTTTTGAGTTGTAATTGTATTATCTAGCTCCAAAAGTGGCCTTGAAGTTCATCCTGGGCCAGGCTTGGTGACTCCCGAAGAGATCTTGGACCACTCAGAAGAAAAGTCTCATTCAATACGGATACTGGAGAAGAAAAATGCGCCAATGGAACAAATAAGCTTCTTCAAGGCCTGGTAAAGTACAAGTCTATGTGGGACCCTGGATTCAGTTCCCAGTGTTCTTAACCCATAAGTCATCTCTCCAGACCCAAAATTGAGAAAAAAAGAAAAAAGCAAAAACAAAGCCCAAGCCAACAAATCTACCAAGCAAACAATTGGGTATGCTAATGTGTGCTTGTAATTCTAAGATGGAGAGGTGGGGGGCAGAGACAGTAGGGTTTCTGGGAGTTTGCTGACCTGCTTGGTGGAAGGTGCCTGAGGCCAAACACCTGAGCTTGTCCTCTGAGCTCCACATGCACACATACATGTGCACTCATGTATAAACACATACAAATAAGTAACTGTCCCTATTTCTGTACATCATCAGCGAGATAAAAAGAATTTCGAAATTGTTTGAGCCAAGTCAAGCAAAATCTACACTTGATCTAGAACTGACCTGTGAGTTCTGGTTTACACTGAGGTCTAATTGTCAGTCAGTTCTGAGGGCCAGGAGAATCCTGGGGTAGAGGTTCAAATTTGACAGCTAAGGAGTTGGCAGAGGGACAGGCTAGACCCAGCATTCTCCATGAAGAAAACCCCTCGGGAGGAGGTGAATGTATTTTTTTTTCTGTATTAAGAGATCAATGGGAGATTACTGATAATCTTGGTCGTGGATGCAACTCTTCAGACTCGAGTGCTTGCTGGCCTGTAATCTTGTTTGATCCTCAGAACGGCCCCGGAGCTCATCAAGAGCACTGGACATGTCCTAACCAGATTAGAGATAGAGAAGGACTCAGACAATTTCATTTATTGGAAGAAAGCCGAGAGGGGAAAGGAAGTGGCAGGGTTCACGTGTCCTTTAGAAAGGGAGGAATAAGCTCAGATCTTGCAGCTCTCTCTGATTGCTCTCTTCCTCTCTCTGATTTCCTGCATTGTGGATGCAGGAGGCAGGAGCTCAAAGGTGGAAGCAACCCAGAGGCCACTTCTAGATGAATGGATAAACTAATATGGGCTCTATCCATTTATGTATGTATATATGTATCTCTCTCTTCCTTCATCTATAATCTATCACCTATCCATGTATTTATTTGTCACCTACCTATCTATTTTCTATCCACCTACCATTTATCTATAGCGTTATCATTTGTCATTCTATTATCTATTTACCCATTCATCATCTATTTATCTATAATCTACGTATAATTTATAGTCTATCTACCTATATCTATGTATACTTTATCTACCTATATCTACGTATCTGTGCATCTATAATCGATTTATCCATCTATCATCTATCTATAATCCATCTATGTATCTATCACCAGTCTGTCAGTGATCTGTTTCCATCTCCCTATCATTCTGTCTGTAAGAAAGACACACTCTGTGACACGCTGTTACATGGATGAGCATTGTGGATATTCTGAATGAAATAAACCAATCACCAGAAGGCAAGTCTTGTGTTAGTTCACTTTAATGAAATCCCTTGAGTTGTCAAGTTCCTCAAGATAGAAAGTAGAATGGTGGGTGCCAGGGGCTGGGGTGAGGGTAGTTAGCTCAAGAGGGTCAAGTTTCAGTTTTTGCTAGATGAGAAGAGCTCTGGAGTCAGCGGGCAGTCACGTGGATGACCTAACGTCATGCTAAAAAGGGACTGACGTACTACGCACATGACATGTATGCTGGCTAGTTTCATGTCAAGCTTGTGAGGTCATTATTTTTGTTGTTGCGAGCATGGGACAAGAAGTGAGGGTGAGCAAGCAACAAGGGACCACAAGGTGGCAGTAGAAGCCCGAGTTTTAGTCAATTGACACTTAGCGTTGCCTGTGGGGGACTTTCCAGGGCTAGGGTGTGGGACTGTCGCTCAGAAGACCCAGAGGGCTGGGACACTAGCAGGAGCCAGGTCAGAGAGGCCGCTGGAGCACCCACTGGTCGGTCACCCAGCAGCCTCGAGGGCCTCTTGCTTATGGTGTAGCTTGGTCTCCTCTTAGTGCCTAGTTTTACCACAAGTATGTGCAGTGTGTGAGTGAGTGTGCGTGTGTGTGTGTGTGAGTGTGTGTGTGTGTGTGCATGTATTTTGTAAGTTTTTAAAATAACATACTTTTAAAAATAAGTTAAGACTAGTGTGTGTGGGGGGCATGTCTTTAATCCCAGCACTTGGGAGGCAGGAAGATGAAGAGAAGGAGGAAGGGAGGAAGGGGAGGACTGAATGGCTCCCAAGGGACAGCACAGCTGTCCTCTGGCCTCCATATCTCCTGCACGCATGCTCACACACAAAGAACTGACCATCTTTTTTTTTTTTTTTTAAATTGTTGTTCCTGTTCTTCCCTCAACAATGCCATTTAGCAGCTGTTTACACAGACTTGACTTGTGCTCGTCGTTCTAAGTAGTGCAAAGCTGACTGAGAGTGTGCAGGAAGACATGCGTCAAGTCATTCGTGCAAGGACCTGCATGTCCGTGGAGTCCGGTGTTTATGGAGGGTCCCAGAACTGAAGCCTCAGGGACCCGGAGGTTGTCGACTGCATTACCAGGATTCAAGTAACATGGAAAGGATGCATTTGTGAGTTATCCTGGACTTGGCTGTGCGCAATGAAATCTGCATAAGGGAACAACCCCCAAAACGATGTTATTTAAAAAAAAAAGTTCTGAGACTAGGAAAGTGGCTCGGTGGGTAAAGCACTTGCCAAACAGGCTCGAGGACCTGAGTTCGACTCCTCAGAACTCATGTAAGGTCTGACATGGTAGTGCAGACCAGTAATCTCAGTGCTTCTGAGGCACGAGGAAGGGGAAGACAAGAGGATTCCTGAAAAATGTGTGGGCCAGGTAGCGTGGTGTGCACAGTGGCAAACGAGACACCTGGTCTCAAACAAGGCAGAAGGCCAGGATTGACCCTTGAGAACTTCCTCTGACCTCTACTCATGTGTCATGGCATGCATGCATCCCTACTCCCGTGAACATGCACACATACATGCATGCACGCATGCACATGTGCATGTATGTGCGTGCACACACACTGACAAAAAGTAAAAATACAATACATTACTCAAAAAAAAAATCCCTTCAAGGGTAAATTTTCCAGTCTTGAGAGTCACTTTAAAATGAAGCAACGTGAGACTTAGTCTGTCCCACAACGAGGGCAAACAAGCTAAATAGACTTTTCTCTGAAGCACGGCTGGGCCTCTGTCATTGCTATTCGACTTGTCACACAGCTCTGTCAAGAAACCTAAATTTAGATTGTTCCTTGTTCAGAAACCAGGACATTCCATTTTTGTCCAAAAAAGCAATGACACAGAAGGCCTATTCACTTGCTGTTAATTCGCAAAATGCTTGAATCCAGCTGAAGAAATAGAGATGTTAATTGCATTGTTATTTATAGTAGCATAAATTAGAAAAAAATTTAAATGTTAAAAAGAAGGAGGAAAGAAAAGAAGCCACAGTATAGTGAATCAAGGAATATTATGTGGACATTAAGAAGGATAGCCATAGGGGCTGGGGGAGAGCCTAGCCAGTGAAGTACTTGCTGTGGAAGCATGAAGACCTGCGGTCAGTTCTAGAACCTACAGAGAGGACTTCTGGTGCACTCTTGTAAACCCAAAGGCGGGGACGCAGTGACAGGGGATCTCATTGACTTGCTGACCAGCCAGCCTAGCCTATAAACAGTCACCCCAGGTCCTGGTGAAAAACTTTGCTCTAAAAATAAGGGGGAAAAGAAACAATTAAAAATTTAACCAACCTGCCAAACTATCAATCAATTAACCAACTAACCAACCAGCTCTCTAACCAATCAATCAACTAACCAACAAACCAAGCAACTAATCAATCAAAATCTAACCAGTAGATTAAGCAATTAAGCATTCAACCAGCCTATCAACCAACCAACAAATAAGTCCGCCAACAAGCCTAGATAGGTACCAACCAATAAGCCAACCAACCACCCACCCACCCACCCACCAACAAATTAGCAAACCAATCAACCAACCAACCAACATTAATAAATCGACCAAACAATCAACTAATCAATCAATCATTCAACCAATGTACCTACCAATCAACTACCGAACCAACCAACCAGTCGAACAAGCAAACAGCAAACAACAAAAACCTTCCAAGAGTGGTCATGAAGACTCAGTGGGAAGGTAAGAAACAAATGAGGTCGAATGTAACACAGGAAGTATAAAGCTGTATGAATCCTGTAACAACTGTATGTGTGTAAAATACATTTGAAAACAGGAAAATGTTATCTGTCTCAATGAACTGGAATGCTTTTTAAAATGTTAGTTTATTTAGTCATGTGAGTGCATGTGTGTACATGCATCACGGTCGCATGTGGAGGTCAGAGGACAACTTAAGGGAACTGATTCTCTTCTTCTATTGTGTACGTTCCAGCTGTTGAACTAGAGTCATCAGACTTGACAGCAAAGAACCTTCTTGCTCACTGAGCCATCTCACTGACCCCGATTTTCAGTATTTTTTTATGTAATAATTTTTTTTTTTTTTTTTTTTTTTTTTTTTTTAGAGGGTTTCTCTGTGTAACAGCTCTAGCTGTCCTGAAACTCATTTTGTAGACCAGGCTGGCTTCAAGCTCACAGAGATCTGCCTTACTCTGGCTCCAGAGTGCTGGGATTAAAGGTGTGTGCCATCACTGCCTGGTCATGGAGGAAATTTGTTCTGTCTTTCCAGGGGCAAGGTTTTGTAGTATGAGATCACCTGAAAATCATTTAGCAGGGATGAAGACATCATTGGACAGCGCTGGACTTCAGGACCCAGCAGCAGCTCTGGGCTTGCAGCACCTCCAAACCACTTCAACTTTTACACACACAGTAGATGATCCACTCAGGCATGGTGGTGTGTGTATTCAGTCCCGGAATTCAAGAGGCTGAGGCAGGAGAATCACAAGTTCAAGACCAGCCTGTGCTACAGAACAATGTTTTGTTTCAGAACAAAACACACTAAGAAAATCTAGGCTGGGAGAGATTTCAGTCACTAACGTGCTTACCGTACAAACGTAAGGACCTGAGTTTGATGTCCAGAACATAGGGAACTCGGGCATGGTGGTATGCACTTGTAGTCCTGGTAATGGAGAGGCAGGGCAGAAGGATACCTGTACTTGCTGGCCTTGGTAGTTTAGCTACATCAGCGAGCTCCAGTGTGTGCCGCCATGTCCTGGACTTTACGTGGATTCTGGGGACTGAACTCAGATCCTCATGCCTGTGCAGCCAAAACTTTACCAAATGGCCATCTCTTCAGAGCCAGAAGTTAGCTCTTGTCATGCTGACCACACCGTTGTGTCAACCAGCCAGTGAAGACCTCATGTTGCTGCTAGGAGGGACTCTGGGGAGGCAGCGGGAGAAGGGAAACTAGAAGCCCCAGGTGACAAGTGGAGCTCTCACTCTCCCTCAGGTCAAAGGACAAAATCCTGGCCCTGGTGGAGGGCACTCGGTGGGCTGCTACCTACCAGAGATTGTTCAGTTGGCTGCTGTGAAGCCAGAACGGGAGCATGTTTCTCTTGTGGCCTCAGACACACCTCCTTCAGGTTTTGCTTATCCTTCATGATGCAGTGTCTTGACTCGGCAACTTTCAGGATTGCATCGTTTCGTTGGTGATGAAGGCTGAAGTCCGCATTGCTTTTGTTTGTAAAGAAAAATGGCTGGAGCCTGGCCTCTTTAGATGCCGGGAAGGTCTTTGTGGGTATGGGAACCCTGAGTCGAAGAAGTGTTAGTCAGGGTTTGCTAGAGGAACAGGCCTGGTAGATAGAGCGACTCCTTATCAGAAGGTGGTTTCTCTAGATGGCTGTCACAACAGAGGCTGGGCAGTCCGTCACTGGCTATGTGCACACCGAAGAAGCCCCGACGGAAGCTCTCACTCTGTGAGGCTGGATGCCTCAGCAGTTCCAACCTGGTGGCACAGGCCTGGATGGTTCTTGGAGAGCTGCTGATCTTCAGACCGTACTGGAAGGCGGAAGGGGCTGGGTTCTGATGTTGGGTGAAGAACGGTGGTACAGCAGCAATAGAGGCTAAATACGCTCACAGCTAGAAGGCAAGGCGGGGAAGCAAGCAGCCTCCCCTTCAGACCCTGGGCGGTGCCACTGACTCTGGGCTCATCTCAGTTAATACACCCTCACAGACTCACCCAGGGATATGTCTTTTAGGTCATGCCAGATCCAATCAAGTTGACCTTCAAGTTCCAAACCCTCTCCCAGCTTCCTGCGTCAGCCTCCACTATTTTGGCCACATTTGCAGAGCTTCCATCAGGTGAGGTGGTCTCAGGTCTGTGGGATGGCCCCATGGGTAAAGGTGTTTGTTGCCAAGCTTGAGGACAAGGGTTTGATCCTTGGAACCCACATGGTAGAAGAACCGGCACACTCATCACAACGTAAGTAAGTAATAAATAAATGCAGCAAAAAGGAGATAGTTAGCTCATGTGGCAGCAGATGAGCGAGCAAGCGAGAGAGAGAGAGAGAGAGAGAGAGAGAGGTAACATTGCAACTGATTAGAAAAATCAGAGTGCTGGAGAGCTGGTGGGTTTACGTCTGCAGCCCTGGCATTCAGGATGCTGAGGGAGGAAGGTCATGAGCTCGAAGTCAGCCTGAGCTGTATAGTGAGTCCAAGGCTAGCCTAAGTGTTGTATCAAAACCTGTTTTTTTTTTTTTTTAAATAAGGTTGCTAGGCATAGTGGCCCATGCCTTTAATCCCAGCACTCTGGAGGTAGAGACAGGTGGATCTCTGAGTTTGAGGTCAGCCTGATCTACAAATCAAGTTTCAAGACAGCCAGGGCCACACAGAGAAACCCTGTCTCAAAACAAACACGCAAACAACAACAATAACAGCAGCAAAAGAAGGTGACTAACTAGGCTGTGGCGTTTAGACAAATCCAGTGTATTTTTGTTGTTCTTGATATTGTGTTGGGACAGAATCTCATGTAGCCTAGACTAGCCTTGAACTTACTATGTAACTGAAGAAACAAACCAGCATTCTGCTCTGATCTCTCTCCCTATATGTGCATGGATGTACATACTTACACACTCACATGCATAACACACACACATACGCACATACACACAGAGAGAGAAAGAGAGAGAGATTACTGGGTATGGTGATGCATACACCTGTAATCCCAGCATTCAGAAAGCAGAGGCAGGGGGTTTATGAATTTGAGACTGGCGTGGGCTATAAAGCAAGACTCTGTCGACAGACAGACAGACAGACAGACAGACAGACATGAAGCATCAAAGATGTAGAGTCTACAAATCATGCTTGCAGTTTGCAGGGCCTTGCCTGGGTCGAGATAAGTTTAGTTTGGATCAATTGCTCATTTGTTGTTTCTAAACACCTGGCCTTCCTGCAGTTGGTCTCGCACAAATGTGGTGCCCCCTGTGCCCTCACACCTGTTACCCTGAAGCTACCCCCTCCCCCCATCACCAGTGCTATCCAGTGAAGCTGGCTCACAAAACGCTCACGGAGGGAGGCCGGGGGAAGATCGCTCTGAAATTCAGGAAGCAAGGCAAGAGTGCACTTTTTGCAGCATATGGGTTGCCAGAGATTTCTGAGGCCCCTTCAGCTGTCTTCTCGCTGAAGAATTCTATTTTGGTTCTGGCGGAGCGTCCACTCAGCTATTCGGAACTTACGCCAGCTCCAGAGGGCTGAGTCACCCCCAGCAGCTGTGGTTGACCGTGCTGGAGGCGCTCAGGCCTTTAGTCTTTATATTTGGGGTTGAGCGCCTCCCACACGCTCCTGTGTTTGAACACTTGGTCCTCAGCCGTTGGCCCGTGTCTGGGAGGTGGTGTGGCGACTGCTTTTCATGTCCTTTAGAATCACCCAAGAGGCATACACTTCTGGGAGTGTCTGCGAGGGCCTTTCTAGGAAGAGTTAACTGCAGAGGACCACTCGCCATGAATGTGGGCTGCATGATCTCATGGCTTCCCAGGTTGAATAAAAATGAAAAAACTGAAAAGGAGAAAAAAAAAAAGCAAGACCCTCCCACCCTATTTTCCTGACTGTGGACGCCACGTGACCCTGCTTCCCTGACTGTGGGCACCGTGTGACCAGCTGTCTCAGGCTCCTGTCACCATGCTTTGCCCACCACGATAGACTAGCTTATCAAACCATGGCTAAGATAAACCCTTAAGTTACTTTTGCCATGGCAACAAGAAAGGTTGCTTATGTATAGACACCCATCCTTACTTAAGGCTTATTTCATTTTTAGTTATGTGTATATTTCTCTCTCTCTCTTTCTGTGTGTGTGTGTGTGTGTGTGTGTGTGTGTGTGTGTGTATTTGACCACGTATGCACGTGTGGCGGCCAGAGGTCCATATTAGGTGTCTTCCTCAATCACGTTCTCCTTCTTTGAGGTGGGGTTCCTCACTGAACCTGGAGTTGAATGATTTGACTAGCCTGGCTGGCTGGATCACTGGGATCTCCCCATCTTTCCCACCCTGTGTTGGGGTTCAAGGCGTGTGCTCTCATGCCTGGCTTTCTACGTGGATGCTGAGGGCTTGATCTTAGGTTCTCCTGCAGTGAGTGCTTTGTCCACTGAGTCATCTGTCTTGCTGAGGGTTTCTATTGCTGGGAAGAGACATTATGGCCATGGCAACTCATAAGGAAGACATTTGGTGGAGAGGGCTGGCTCACACTTACCGAGGTTCAGTCCATTATCATCATGGTGAGAGCATGGCGGCATGCAGGAGGGCGTGGTGCCAGGGGAGTAGCTGAGAGCCCTGCATCTCGCAGGAAGCAGGAAGTCAAGGGACTGTCACACCGAGGGAAACTGAAGCAAAAGGGATCTCAAAGCCCCCACAGTGACACACTTCCTCCAGCAAAGCCACACCTCCTAAGAGCGCCACTGTTTATGAGTTTATGGGAGTCAGTTATGTTCAAACTGCCGCACCATCTGGATTCTGTTTCCCTGTCCTGGCTGTGTCATGACTGAGATGTGGCAAGCTCTGCTCACACAAGCCGGAAGACAGCACCTCTTCTCCAAAGAGCCTTCAAGAGGAGAGCTAAGCTAACAGATGTCTACTGATGTTCGTTTTCTCAAAACAGGCAGTTTGCACCCCATACTGCTGTTGTGCTTTGAATATGAAACACCCCACCCCTAGGCTGACATGGTGACTGACTTCCTGATGACATCATTTTGGGAGTTTCCAGAAACTTTTGGAAGTTGGGTCTAGCTGAAAGTAGTAGTTTATTATGGGGAGTGGGCTTGAGTTGGGTCCTTGGAGGTAGGTATCTTATTCCTGGCCACTTCCTTTTTGCCTATTTCTTGTCTTCCATAATTTTTTTTTATTCTTTTGAGATGGAGCCTGTCCTAGAGCTAGTTCTTGTAGACCAGGCTGGCCTCAAACTCACAGAGGTCCTCCTGCCTCTACCTCCCAACTGCTGGGATTAAAGACGTGCACCGCCATTGCCAGCCTCGCCACCACTGCACAGCTATCTTCCATAATGTTAAGAACCATGCCCACCACATGATCTGGCCACTATGTCTTTCTGTCAGGTACATGGAGCCATGTAATCAGAAGGTCTCGGATGTAGGTTCACAGGGTCACTGAGGTGAACTGTTGGGGGTAGAGTTCATTAGAAGAGCTATTAACCCCATGGGTGGTCAGACAGTGTGCCTGTGGTATCGGTGAGAGAGGAAGGCTGCCATAGCTAGATTCTGACATTACGGTCTTACAGTGACCATGCACCAAGCCCTGAGAAAACGTGAGCCAAAATGAATAATTTTGTGTTGTTCCCTTAGGAACTTTGGATACAGTTGCAGATACACTGATTTTTTTTCCTTTAGGGAGAGGAAGGTGGAGACATGTCTCTAAGAAGTTCTTGGAAAGATGTCTCATCCGAAATCCTGCAGCTCTCAGGGTAAAGCGCAAGTATCCCCGTGTGCTGGTCTTTGTGACTGCACAGGGAAACTTGGTTTCTTTCACAATGCCTTCATGTGCAGTAGCTAGGGTGGGTCAAATGCTTGGTTGTCACCTTGAAAACAACCAAAGAAGCCTAGTTCACTAGCTCTCAGTAGCAGGGGAGATCTCTAACTTTGGAGGTTCACACAGTTGGGGCCCATGTGACTGGTTTCCCACCTGTTTTGGTAGAGGCATTGTCTCTACTGTGTGGGTTATGGTAACAATCGCCTAGGTTACACATCAAGAAATTAAGGGCTTCTTTTATTGACAACACTGGCTTTTCACTTGGGTCTGCAGAAGTCCTGTGAGTGACGGGAACTGGATGGAAAGGCCGGGCATCTCTGTCTTAACAGTGTGACCACCTCCTCTGCTGCTTGAGCCTATGCACCAGACTCTACCTGTCTCTGTCTCTGCATGTGGACAAGCTGAACATTCAGGAAACATTTGCTCAGAACTTGAGTACAGGATGAACCTGATCTAGACTTCCCTACTCTCTCTTTCCCTCTTCAAGGCAAAAAACATAGCATCTGCCATGACTAAAACTACAGGACCTTGGAAGGAGGAAAAAGAGGCATCCTTGAAGGCGGAAGAGATGGCTCAGTGGTGAAATGCCTGCTGTGCACGCAGGAGGGTCTGATCGGCTCTCAGAACCCAGGTAGGAAGCTGGGCGTGGTGGCACATGCTTCTCATCCCAGCGTTGGGAGGTGGGGTCAGGCTAATCCCTGGCTTTGCTAGCCGGACAGTCTAGCCTGATTAATGATACTCAGGACCCAGTGAGAGACATTGCCTCAAAGAACAAGGTGGATGGCTCCTGAGAAATCGCACCTAGGTTGTCCTCTGGCCTCCACGTACACATGGACACACACACACACACACACACACACACACACACACACACCCCAAAGTCCCAAAGATATAAGAAAGGAAGTTAGTACACATGGCATGGGGGAGACATTTGAAATTTCTTTTCTTTTCTTTTCCTTCCTTCCTTCCTTCCTTCCTTCCTTCCTTCCTTCCTTCCTTCCTCCCTCCCTCCCTCCCTCCCTTCCTCCCTCCCTCCCCCTTTCTTCTCTCTCTCTTTCTTTCTTTCTTTCTTTCTTTCTTTCTTTCTTTCTTTCTTTCTAATAATGGCTTCCTCAAAAATAGTTCTGATCCTGAAACCTGGACCACCATAGAGAACACATGTGTTTAGATGAAGTTCATAGCTCATATCCTGGAAGTGGAGATGGTGGTGGGTGAGGCTGGTGACATCACATAGTTTGAAGCAGCAGTGACTCCCAGATGAACCTAGCAAGCATATGATATTCTTCTTTCCTTTCCTTGTGTTTGGTATAGGTATGTATGGGTTCATGTGTACACACATGTATGTGCAAGTGCATGTATGTATGTGTGCATGTGAAGGCCAGTGGTCATTGTCAAGTTGGGTTCCTCAATCGCTCTTCACCTTATTTCTCGATACAGGATTTCTTACTGAACCTGGAGCTCACTGATTCAGCTAGATTAGCGGCCAGCACTGGGATTACAACTGTATACTGTAATGCCTGGCTTTTCTACATGGGTTCTGAGGGTCCAGCTCAGGTCCTCATGCTTGCCAGGTGTCCCAGTTTTGATTCTGGTTGTAATAAAATACACGGATGAAAAGAAACTTAGTGAAGAAAGGTTTCTCAGTCTATCAGTGAGGGAAGGTCACAGTGCCAGGAGCCTAAGACAGACGATCATAGCACAGCCACGGTCAAGAGCAGCAAATGACTCCTTGCTGGCTTGCTTGTGCTCGGCTCAGTTCCTCCTCACTTACACAGTTTAGGATCCTCTGCCTAGGGAATGGTGTCACCCACGGTGGGTTGAGTCTTCCCATATTTAATTAAGAGAATCCCCCATAGACATCAACACAGGCCAACCCAATGTAGATACTCCTTGATTGAGGCTTTCTTCCTAGCTTATTCTCGGTTGGGTCAAGCCGACAAAGTTAACCATCCTGCATGGCAAGCCCTTTATTGGCTGAGCCACCTCCTCAGCCCTGCGTGCTATTTTTCTTTGCTACGAAGATTTGCAGTTTGTTATGCAGCAACAGACATCAGATACAAATGAGCGCCGATACTCAAAATGTCAAATGAGGTTTTTATCACCTTCTGCCATTTCCCTAGACAGACTCAGCTCCCGGATCGGAGACCACGTGTCCTGGCAGAGCTTTTCCAAAAACATGGTCCAATTTGGTCTTTCTCATTATGACTTGTGGGATAGTGACGTCATTTGAAGACTTGCCCATAAGCAAACAGCGGGGCGAGAAATAACCCTTAGCAAGATTTCAAAGCTGAAGGAGTCTTGGGAGGCAGAATCATTTATAATAAAACACAGTGACTTGACAGCTTTAGTTTTCAGTTATTAAGGTTGGAGGGCCAAAGCTCAGCCATGCAATTTAGTTCTTAGTGATGTTCGATAATATCGCCTCAGAGTCCGACATCTAAATACTCCTGTCAATCAACATCTATTATGCAATTCTTACTCCATGCAGTGTGACCCGTGGGGCTGTGGGAAGAATATAGGAAGTGAAAGCTAGTCCCTGCTCCCCGGGGACATCTAATTTTGAGAAAATACAGGCCACTAAACAGATCAATTATTCCTCAAAATGCTGATAGAATTTTTTTTTTTTAATCATCGAGTTCCTTAGAACTTTTATTTGGGAAACGTTTTTATAGTACTTTGTGCTAATTTCAAAAGTAACTCTCAAAATGCAGAGAAGTGTAAAGAAAGATAGATTTCCAATAACTCTAATCATCGATTGGTGTTGGCATTTTGATGAATACCTTTTCTGGGGATTTTCAAGGTATGTATGTTGTTATGTACGTAATTGGTGGAGTCAGTTGCGTGTAGCATTGATGAGCCTCGAATGCATGGGAGCTGACCTGGAACTCTTGCTTCAGCCTCCTCAGTGTTGAGAGTGTATATATGAACCACCAGGTCCCACTTGAACTCATTTAAAGATTTTTATTTTATTTTATGTGTATGGATGTTCTGTCTGGATGTATGTCTGTGTATCACACATACGCTTGATACTCATGGAGGCCAGAAGAGGGTATTATATTCCCCTGGAAACTGAGTCACAGATGGTTGTGAGTTGCCATGGAGGTGCTGGGAATTTGAACTTGGGTCCTTTGGAAGAACAGTCAGTGCTCTTAACTGTTGAGTTGCCTTTCTAACTCTATACGTTATTTCTTAATAAAAGGAAATGAAGTGTGTGGAGTTAACCCAGTTGGCAAAGTACTAGGGACCAAGTTTGGATCCCCAGAACCTTTATTAGTAAATGCTCAAGTGTGGCAGCAAGCATTTATAACGTCAGTGTTAGGGAGGTGGAAGCAGGAGGCTTGTTGGGCTTGCCAATTTAACTGAAAAGGTGGGTTCTACATTCAGTGAGAGACTTTATTTCAAGAAAACAGTGGAAGGTGATTGAGGACAACACTGGACATCGATGTCTGGTGACGAAGGGCAACACCGGACATTGGCGTCTGGTGACGGAGGACAACACCGGACATTGGCGTCTGGTGACGGAGGACAACACCGGACATTGGCGTCTGGTGACAGAGGACAACACTGGACATTGGCATCTGGCCTCTACCATATTTGCACACACAGGTACATACATGCCAACATGTATCACACACACACATGCACACATATGCACACACACGCACACACACATGTGCATGCGTGCACTTCAATACCATCCTTAGTTATATAGTATAGCAAGCTCTAGGTGATCTCAGAACACATGAAACACTGCCTAAAAATAAGAATTTTAAAAAGGACCTAGAGAGAAAAATCAGCAGGGAAGAGCCATTGACTCTTCTTCCAGAGGACCTAGGTGCTATTCACAGATATACAACACAGAAGCAAACACCTATACAGCTAAAATAAAACTGTTTTTGTCTTTTATTTAAAAAGAAAATCAGAATCGTACTGCCCCCCCCATCTTTCTATGTCATTATCGACGTGCCGAAATTTAATGGCTATGAAGCATGCTGTGACATGAAGGGAATCTTCTATTGATAGACGTTTCCACTATTTAAAATTTGCTCTATCGTGAAGAGCAATGCTGGAAAATCCCTGCATTTTCTTGCGTGGGTAATTGTACCCTTACAGCCTTGGGACAGGTCTGTAGGGTAAGAAGGGCTCAGCCAGCGGTTTTCAACCTGGAGGCTCAGACATTTTTGAGGCTGACGGACCCTTTCACAGAGGTTGCAGATCAGATATTTACATTATAATTCACACCAGTGGCAAAGTTGCAGTGATGAAGTGGCAGTGAAAATCATTTGTTGTTGGGGGTCACCGCAGCACGAGACTCTTGAAGAGTCTCAGTGTTAGTGAGGCTGAGACCCACTGCCCTAGGCTGGAGCCCTGACTCCTGCATACAGTGTTGCCACATGAGGTAAAGTGACCACAGAGGATTTACATAGAAAATTTTCTTCATTAGATGGTACGATAGTTAATCTTCATTTCAACTCAACTGGATAGAGAATGGGCTATGAGACACTTCCTGGGAGTGTCAGTGAGCACAGTTCCAAAGGGGTACAGCTGACGTGGGAACTCCACCCTGGGCATGGGCGACAGCATCCCCTAGCCTGGGGTCCTGGGCTGAATAAAAGGCGGAAGCGAGCTGAGCACGGTCGTCCATTACTCTCTCCTTCCTGACTGTGATGCAATGTGACCCGCCACCTCAAACCCTTGCTGCCATGCCTTCCTGTTGATGATGGACTCTTCCTTCAAACTGTGAACAAAATAGACCCCTTTCTTCAAGCCTCCCATGCCAGGCATTTTGTCATAGCAACAAGAAAAGTATCTGATACAGATTGCCATCTCACAATTGAAAACCATAAGGAGGCTGGAGGGTGTGGCGCAGTGGTAGAGCCCCTGCCTAGAATCCCCCAGTGAGGGGCTGGGGTGTGGCCCAGTGGTAGAGCACCTGCCTAGAATCCTCCAGTGAGGGGCTGGGGTGTGGCCCAGTGGTAGAGCACCTGCCTAGAATCCCCCAGTGAGGGGCTGGGGTGTGGCTCAGTGGTAGAGCCCCTGCCTAGAATCCCCCAGTGAGGGGCTGGGGTGTGGCTCAGTGGTAGAGCCCCTGCCTAGAATCCCCCAGTGAGGGGCTGGGGTGTGGCTCAGTGGTAGAGCACCTGCTCACCTGCTTAGAATCCCCCAGTGAGGGACTGGGGTGTGGCTCATGGTAAAGTGCTGGCCTAGTATGTGCAGCAACATTCTGGGTTCTATCCTAGACACATTCATGTTATCCTTTCCAAGTATTTATGTTTGTTTCCAAAGCCTTATGTTGTTACAATTCAACAATGGCTACAAATGTAGCCCTTTCAGCACAGAGCGCTCCAATCCTGGCTCCCCGAGCTCATCTGGAGCCCACAGAGGAATGGCTATGGGAGGCCTGTGTGGGAGAAGAAAGATGGGTCAGAGGTTGTGTCTCCCCTTCCTGATGATAGGAACTCTCGGTCTCTTAGGTTCTGCCACACCCACTCACTGTACCCACAAGACGGTTGCTGTCCGTGATTGCACACCTCAGCCTACTGTGGAAATCCTTGGGATTGCAGCCTGGCCACTGTGGCTGAGACCAGAGTTCTGTGGGCTCCAACTCCCCCGTGGCTTCTGTCTTAGTTTTCTTCCTTGGTGCTGTGATAAAATCCTCTGGCCAAAGCAACTCAAGGGAGAAAGGGTTTATTTCAGCTCCCAGTTCAAGAGGACAACACGGTGGGGAAGTTGAGGCAGCTGGAGCTTAAAATGACTGGGATGTGTGTCTCATCTACACACAGGAAGCAGAGATGGAGGGATGCAGTCTCGTGTCCAGCTCACCGTCCTCATGGGCACAGCCCAGGACCCCCTGCCTAAGCCACGGTTCCAACTCTGGTTAAGGAGGATCTCACGTCAAGCAATGAAATCACGACAATCCCCCCCGGCCGTGCCCAGAAGCCTGTCTCCCAGCTGATTGCAGATTCTGACGAACTGACACGGGCATCATAGCTCCCTGAGGATTAAGACCGCATGGCCGCCCCCCCCCCGGGCGGGGGGTTAGCGGGGGGGGGTCTCTGTGTTAGTTCCAAGGTGTAGTTCCCTGAGGATAAGACTGCCTACTCCCCCTCCCCAGCCCCCCAATGTTAGCCAGTTGTGGGTATCTGTTCGATCTGAGGCGTAGCTTTCCCCTGGGTCTCTTGGCTCTACCTTCTCCCTTAATTTCAGTCCTAAGTCTGTCTTTCCGGGAAGTGAAAGAGTAAAAAGGGAAGGTGGCAGAGGGAGGGAGGGTGGCAGCAGTTCCTACATTTTATTTGACAAATGGATTCCTTAGGTTCTTCCAAACCAAACCTGCTTTTCCCCATCTAGTGTCCCTGGTCCTAGCTGGGGAAACATGATGTGGGCAGGGACAGAAATAAACCTTAAATCCAAGACTTGTCTATAGAAGACAGTGACTTTCATAGTTTGCTCCTGGGGTCAGGGGAGGTCGTTTCTCTGTTTTCTGTTCTCGTGCGTTGTTTATGAAGCAGAACACATAGGGTTTGAAAATGAAAATACGGAGTTTTGTAGGATGGGATGGGTGGAAGAGACTATGAGGGAAAACACTGTCGGGGAGGGGGAGACAGGTGGATGTTTGGGACTCGATGGCCAGCCAGCTTGGCTGACTGGGAGAGAGCCAGGCCAGTGAGAGATGCTGTCTCTAAAACCCAAGGTGTCCTGCAGGGCTCAGGGGCCATGGCAGAAGAGGAGGCATAGAGAACGCAAGGGCCTGTGTCCAGGAAGAAGCAGGGTGACACGGATGGCTGCATGCATGATGTTGCAGCAGCCGTGGTTCAGTGCCTGAGACCTACACAAGAACTGGCCAGTCAAAGTTCCAGCAAGGAGTGGGGACATGATGAGTCCTATCCCTAGCTGAGGGGCTATTGACAACCGAGGGCATCCGGGGGAGAAAGAGTCAGCTTTCCTTAGTGTAGCATGAGGGCTGGCTTGTTGGGGTTTCTGTCCCGCCCGGTACCCCACAACCGTCAACTCTCAAGGAAAATCAATCACACAGAGATCTCTATAAGTTATAAAGCTGATTGGCCCATTAGGTCAGGCTACTTATTAGTTCTTATAACTTATGTTACCCCATTATCCTTATCTACATTAGCACATGGCTCAGTACCTTTTCCAGCGGGGCAGCTTACATCTTTCCTCTCCGGTGATCTGGGCAGAACTGCTTAGGGAGCTTCCTGCTTCCCAGAATGTTCCCAGTCTCTTTGCTCCACCTCTACTTCCTGTCTGGCTTTCCCGCCTATACTGCCTGCCTGGCCAATCAGCGTTTTATTAAAATATGATTGACAGAATACAGATACTTCTCCTGCACCACCTTAGGACACCCCCTCATTCGCTACACAACAGTGAATATCTCACACCAGGACCTATACAGGAAACACTGGACTTGGACTCGGTGGGTTATGAAACACAAAACCCAAACCAAGGCAGACAGCACCTGGAGAACCACAGAGGATGTGGTTCCGTGGCATCCACATGCACATACTTGTTCATCTGCACACACACAGACACTGAGAAAGACAAGGGGGGAGAGGCAGGAGGAGGGAGAGAGAGGGAGGGAGAGAATGAGGGAGAGAGAGAGACAGAAGGGGAGAGAGGGAAAGAGAAGGTGAGAGAGGGAGAGAGAGGGAGAAAGAAGCGGGGAGAGGGAGAGAGAGGGAGTGAGAGAGAAAGAGAGAGGGAGAGAGAATGCATATGGTGTGGATCTGGTTCCTATACAACAATAACAGGTTCCCTTCACTAAGGAGGTGCAATGTTGCAAACACAGATACCCTGGGAAAATGGCCCTAAATTGATGAAGTGCAAACCATCAAGAATTGCCCGAGGAAATCAAGAAACACACCCTTACAATTCCTTCGATTATTGATAAGCCCCTCCGACATTAAGTGGGGAGGAATACAGGAGGCTGGCAAGCATTGCACTGTGACCCCAGGACCACACAGAATGCAGCATTCGGTGCTGGAGACATGGAAAATACACGGGGACCCACAGACATTAATCATATAGCCGCTGGGCCACACGGTGGCCTCGATAAATCTCACAGAATAGGTTTCCCACGGCCCTTGAGCTCTGATCACATTGCTATTAAGTTAGAAGTTAATACGAAAGGACAAGTTGAAAAATGCTTTCTGGACGGGCGTTTAAGACACACGGCGCTGCTCGATAACTTAGGGCCTGGATGAGGGCTTTGGAAGGAAGGAGGGGCTTTCTTCAAGACAGGGCCTTGCTCTGTAGCTCAAATCTGACCTGGAAATTCTCTTCGGCCTAGGCTGGCCTTAAACTCATGGCAATCCTCCTGCACCAGTTTCCTGAGTAGGTTTTTAAATACAAATTATTTAACCTTAAATCATTCCAAATTAGTTTAAATATTTAGGGTCAAATCCTGACAGTTTGTACACTGTTCTAAATTTTAAGTTTTTTTTTAAAGATTGATTTTAATTTTAAAATTATGTGCAAAATTTTGTGTGAGTCTGTAGGTGTGTGCCTGTGGTTACAGGTGCCCACAGGGGACAAAAGAGGGTGTTGGGTCCTTTGGAACTGGAGCGATAGGCATTTGTGAGCTGCCTGATGGGTGTGGGTGCTGGGAACTGAAGTCAGTTTCCCTGCAGAAGCAACAAGTGCATTTAGATGCTGACCATCTCTTCAACCCTGTTGTATTTATATTTCCTTTATGGTGAAAATCTTAGAATAGTCATGGGCTTGTTTTATGATAATAATATCAATGCCATTAGTTGCCAATAGGAAAACTAAACATGGTTGAAGATTTAGTTGCAATTTTATATTACTTTGTCTTTGGGTCCAGAATGCTCAGAAAGCAGGGTGGAAGTACCAAACTCCAAAATGTGTGCTGTCATTCTTTCCATTATACGTGAATTCTACCAATCTTATGTGTAGTTCTATCCGCTGATTTCAGTTTGTTGACTGCTTTTAAGGGGGATGGAGAGGAGGTTGGGCAGTGCTTGGTGTACAGTTCTGAGAAGCAGGGTCGGGATCCCAGTGCCCAGGGGAGAAGCTGGGCTTCCGGGTTGTGGGGAGGTGGAGACATGAGGGCCTCTGAAGCTGGTTTCCAACTATTTTCAGGACTCAGTTTTTTTCCTGAAAAAACTGAGAGATCTCACCTCAAACAAATAGAGCCATGGCTTACTTGGGCCTCCACATGCTCAGGCAGGGGTGCCCAGACCTTTCCTTTTTAAAGGCTGAATAGTATTCTTCATATCCAAAGGACACACAGTACGGCAGAGGTGTGTCTTTCCACACGCACCATTTGTCTTTCCACACACACCATGATGTCATTTGTCACAGCATGAATATCCCCTGGCAGATGAGTGGACTCCAAAGATGCGACAGATGAGGGTAGAGACACCTTGGGATTTATTTTAAAAAAAGAGATATGGTTAAGTCCAGTTGAATCCCATCATTTAAAATAAGAGCTTGTCAGTTTGCCTGACGTGATATGTGCCAAGCCATCCACTTGCTTGCCCCTGAGTGGAAAGCTAGTGTTACACGACCCTGAGTTCTTGTGGGCTCCTGGACACCCATGCGCACCCATCCAAGACGAAGAATCTGAGATATCTAACTGGCCATGCTTCAGGGCTCTGCAGAGTCTCTTCACCGGCACGAAGTCCTCACTGGATGCCCAACGAGTGCCAGAACTATAAGATTTTTTATTTAAAAATTGTTCAGTCTGGGGTGTTCTATTATAGCAACAAACCAACCTCAACAGTAACCTGTCCTGACTAACACAGTGTAATGATTTCACAGGCCCTCTCTCTCCTCTTTTCTCCCTTACTTTCTCTCTCTTTTCCTCCTAGCACACACACCCACACAGGTGCACACACACACACACACACACACACACACACACACACACACACAGACACATCCTTCAGTATTATAAACCAGAAATTGCTTACAGATGATTATTAATGGAGTCAGGAAGAAGTGTGTGAAGGGAATAACAATGGAATTCCAGTGTCTATTATGTTATGGCTTTGATCTTAGAATCTTGTAATTCACTGAAGTGAATTTTAAGGTAATATTAAATCCAACAAAACCCAACAAGTCCTTTGTATGGCTCCGTGGGCAAGAACATTTGTTGTGCAAACGCGAGGACCAGAGTTCAAATCCCTAGAACCCAGGTGAAAATCAGGCATGTTTGCCCCTGCTTGTAAGGAGATGTAGAAACAGGAGGATGGTCGCGGCTTGTTGGCCGCCAGCCTAGTTCCAGGTGCAGTGAGAGACCCAATCTCAAGGGGTAAGGTGGAGAGAGACAGCACAGGACATCTGATGCTGTCCTCCTCTGCCCACCGTGGGTGCACACACCCGCATGCACACGTGCACATTCACACAACCCTCCCCAAGCCCGGGCACACCAAAAGAAATCAGAAAGAAATGCTGTCATCTGGGAGACCGTGATGCCTAACCTCAGTTGTCGACTTGATGAGATGTAGAATCAGTCTCCTGGGAGATGGGCCTGTGGGCGTGTCCACGGGAGAGCACCATGATTGGCTTAACGGAAAAGGCCACACCCACTGTGGGCGGCATCATCTCTTAGGCTGTAATTCTGGTCTAGGGAGAAATCACTCTGAGCACCAGCATCCACCTCTCTCTGCTTCCTGACTGTGGATGCCATGTGGGCATCCACCTCAAGCTCCCGCCAGTGTGCCCGCTCCACACGACCGACTGTACCCTTAAATTGTGCCCTCGAGCATGCCCTCTCTCCCGTAAGTTGATTTGTCACAGAAGACTCCGAGACAGAGAACCCGGATGGACTCAGAGGACAACGCTCTAAATTAAGTCAGCCAATACCGCATGACCCCACCTGTTCGGGAAATCTCAAAACACTGTACTCACAGAAGTGGAACTGTGGCTAAGGTAGAGTGGCATGGGCTGAAGTAGACGAGGTTAGAGCCAAGAAGGGTTAATCCATTCTGGAGGTCTAACATGCAGCCTGGAACTCACCAGATAGGCTGGCTGACCATTAAGCCTCAAGATACCCTACTGCTTTCACCTCTTCAGAACCTGGGTTACAAGCCCACACCACCGTGTGCAGCTTTTTACATGGGTTCTGGGGGCTGAGCTTGGGTCCTCATTCTTGCTCAGCGGATGTGAGCCTTGTTACTTTGAATGGAGTGCTCCAGCCTTTCCCCCAAATCCCTGGTCCTAAGCGCTCTTCACCTGCAGGAACAAGCTGCCGCCCTCCCGCAGGGCTGCCAGGATCCAGCGTGATCTTGCTTTATGTTTCTGCAAATCCAATGGGAAAACAGTACTTAATTCTATTCTAATTTGCAGCTCCCTGATTACCGACCACGCAATCGTTTTCAGATTGAACTAAAGCAGCGAGTGGTCCTCAATGAGGGACAATTTTTTCCCACTTGAGGGATGATTTGGCACCATTTCCAGACACTTGGGTTGTCACGTGGTATTGGTTGGTTAGAGACCACAGACGCAGCCCTGCATCCCATAGTGCACCTGGCTGAGGAAGTCCACAGTGCCTATGGGGAGAAACCCAGGACTCTCAAACTGTGTTTGATAAATGCTGTCATCGCATCCAAACTGTGGGGCTGAGATACATCATTCTCAATCAATCTCTGGGGTTATTGTCAAAAGGGGTCATGGTGAGACATTTCCCAGCCAAACCTCCTCTTTTGTTCACCTGCTTTGTAGTGTTGCCCTCCAACCCTGAGAGCTTTAAGCCACACCGGCTGAGAGGACAGCCTAGCATGGCAATTAGCAATATGGCTGTCTCCAATGTGGTCATATGGCATAACATAACTAACCCTTGCCATCTTGAGATAGAGATTACCTTGGCCCAGTAGGCATGGCAACAAAATAAACAGAAAGATTCAAGGTAGCCAGGTCTATGGTAATGATAGCAAAATTGACGCTCTCTGGTTGATAAAGGAAGGGGAGGGTCAGAGGAGCTTCACCAGGGAGTCCAGCCATTGCTTCCTCCTGCCCTCTCCGAGCTGCAAGTGATCTTGAGAGATGCCAGTGTACCCAGGACACGGGATACTGACTGAAAGGGAGACTCATGCTTCTGCTTGTCAGTCACTCTAGGGTGAGACTTTGCCTTGAAGCAGCTGGCTCACCTATATTGTTTTCAGTCACCCCTCACCCATATTCTGTGGGGAAGCCCAAGAAACATATTGATTCCCCAAGATGGACATCATTGATTGCTCTGCTGGTGTCCTATATGCAGAGGGTGGATATTTGTTTATGTCTTTCCAGGAAAAGGTTCATGGAGCAGCAGGCATATGTGAAAGGGTTGGGTACCTGTGTGAACTCTAGCTGCAAGGGAGGCTGGGCAAGCGAGACCCAGCATCTCTGCTCCGGTCCTAGGAGCAATCTTATTTCTCCGTCTCTCCTCTTCGCAAAGAGACGAGGAGTAGTCCAAAAATGGTTAAAATTCTGGGTTTGCAAGATGAATAACAAATGTACCAATGTGCCAAAAAGTAGATTAGAAGACAAAATGAAACTACAAAGTCAATGGGGTCATGGAGATTTCCCAGTAGTTCTGATTACTTTGTTTTGCTTTTTTCCCCCCCATGGATGCCAATCTCTGATCCCCCCCTTCTTACTTAGGAACTAAATTATGCTTTCAAAAGCAAGTCATTTTTATGGACTGACTGAATGACTTCATTGACTTGAAAGAACATTCCAGCAACTGCTTTTAATTGCCTTTCTCCTTTAAATCAGAGGTGCTTATATTCAGGCCTGGCTCTGCATCAAATTAAGTGATTATATGTTGTTGTCGTGACAGTTTCTGCCCTCATTCCTTCAGAGTGAATGGGCTACTCACTCCTTCCCTGGATGTAATGACCTGTGCACAGAGCAACACCTGGCGTGCTGGGTGACGGGCCTCCTGGGAGAGGTGGATTGGCATAGCATGGCCGACTCTTAGAATTCTAATGAAAAGGACTCAGTCAGTGGCTGAAGAGTTGGCACAGTAGTTAGGAGCACTTACTCCTCTGCCAGAGGACCAGAGTTCGGATCCCAGCACCCACACTGGGCAGCTCACAAATAGGTGTAATTGCAACTCAAGGGAATTTAATGTCTCCTTCCAATTGACTTGCGCATGCACACACACCATAAAATAATCAAATCTTTAATTTTTGAAAAGGAGGGTAGAGCAAAAGGGTAAGAGAAGATATAAAAAAAAAAAATGGACCGGGAAGGAGCTACAGCAAGTACAAACACGAGGACCTGAGTTTGATCCCCAGCCTCTGTAAAAGTGAGCATGGCAGCCCGCTCCTGTAACCCCAGCCCTGGGTGGGAGGGGAGAAGGAGGGTGTACACTGTTGGATCCCTAGAGCTTCCTGGCTAGCCAGCCTCGCTGAAACAGTTCAGTGAGATCCCTTTTCCCCAAAGGAATAAGAAGGATTCAGATAGAGGGAGATATTCAGCGTCTCCCTCTGACTTCCACATGTGCATGTGTGTGAGTGCACATCTGTATGCCCACATGCATACAGGTCTCTGGGTGTGCATGGCGTGTGTTTGTGTGTGTGTGTGTGTGTGTGTGTGTGTGTGTGTACGCACATGAGCATACAGATGTGCACACGTACCACATGCACACCCAGAGACACAAAAGATAAGGAAAATGGCAGTCAGGATGAAAAATGAAGAATGGTTACTTCTACTGAGTTTGGTCTTTATTTGAGTTAGTTCATCAGAGAACGGAGGGAGATGGATTGAAGGACTATCATGTGTTTGCTGCTAAAGCTAGTTATAGCTATGTGTATGGTACTGCCAGGGAAAAGACCGATGGGGCGCAGCGAGAGAGGCAGCTGCAGGTGAGGGTCAGAAATGAAAATGATGCGATTGTGTCTGAGGAGTCAGCTTAATGACAATGATGTGATTGTGTTTGAGGAGATAGCTCCATTGGTAAAAATACTTGCTGTACGTCCTAATGTCCTAACGTCCTAACCGTTACCATGACACAGCCAAGAGCCGCCTGAATAGAAAGCCTTGAATGAGGAATTGCATAGATAGGATTGGTCCTTAATAAAGGAGGGCCAAGCCCACTGTGACAACACCATCCCTTAGGGCAGAGGTGGTCCCGCCTAGAAAGCTAGCTAAGAATGAGCCAGCCACTAAGCAGCATTGCTCCCTGGTTTCCATTTTAAGTTCCTGCTGGAGTTCTGCCCTGCCTTCCCTTAGTGATAGACGGTGACCAGGAAGTGTAATGTAGAATAAACCCTTTCACCACCTAAGTTACTTTTGGTAAGTTTTATCACAGCAGCAAAGCGGAATCTAGAACATCGTACAAGCAGGAGGAGCTGAGTTCGATTCCCAGACATACAGTGGAGAGGTATCATCCTGACACAGGCTCGTAATCCCAGTACGGGGTGATGGAGACAGGAGGAATCCGGCGGCACGCTAGCCAGCTAGCCGAGCCTGACTGGGGGTCTCTAGGCCAGAAAGAGACGCTGCTTCAGGATACAAGGTGGGCAACTCCTGAGGAGCAAGGCTGCCAGCCCACGCCAGCCGCGCCCAGTGATGACGTCACGGGCGGTCTGCGGAAGGTTCGCAGCTATGTCCATTTCCCCAGCTCCTACAGGAAGAAAAGTGTGGGATAAAAATGGTTCAGAATTCAGTTCCTCGAGCACCTGGAAAAGCAGAGAGTATAAGTGGCTATCATGAAATAAAATCTAGTCAGAATAAATTGCCCGTGCTTGAAAGCGAATTAGCCACAGAGAAGCTGACAGGTGGGGATGAGGGATTCGGTGTTTGCCATCTGCTCAATTATCAGGGCGATAATTACTTGAAACGACCTTTCAGCTCATCTCTAGAAAAGAACAGATAAAATATTCCCCAGCCCATTTTTTTTTGTGTGTGTGTGTGCTTGTGTGTGAACTTTGGTGTCTTAATTCATTTTGAACCAAGTGAGCGCAGAACAAATCAACAGGGAAGCGGCAGGGACAACCGGGCGATTAACTGTGTGACTCTTTTTTTTGACTTGAGGATAACAGGCTAATGTGGGAAAAGTCTGCTCAGAGGTTTTCATCTCAGGGTGGTGTGATCCAACCTCTGGATGAGGTAGAGCATCATGGGAAGGGTGTGATGGAGGAGACAAGCAGCTTGCTGTATGGTGGCCAGGAAGTCAAGACCTGCAACTAGATGGGGGAGGGTAGTTCCTTCAAGGACCCAGCTAGTTCCTGCTTCCCACAGGTCTAGAACCTTGCAGCAGTCTATTCCAACTTAAAACTTAGTTCGTCAGTTAATTCGTGAGTGCGTATGTGTGTGCACATGTATGTGCATGTATGTGTACATACTGAGGTTAGAGGGCAACCTTGGGTGTCATTCCTCAGGAACTGCCAATTGTTTTCATGTATGTGTATGTGGGACGTATGTGTGTGTGAAGTCAAGAGGTTAACTTGGATGCCATTCTTCAGGGGCCATTGTGTTTCTTGTGACACGGTCTTCCACTGGTCTCAATTTGTTGATTAGGCTAGAGTGACTGGCAGCACCAAGGATGTACCTGTCTCTACCTCCCCATGCTGGGATTCTAGACATGTGCCACCATACCTCACTTTTAAAACAATGTGTGGTTTATTTAATCACCCCCCCCGTGTGTGTGTGTGTGTGTGTGTGGTGGGGGGTGGGTATGTGTGCATACCTTTTGAGACAGGGTCTCCTATGTATCCCTGGTTTGGCCCGGAACTCATAGTGTAGTTGAGGCTGGCCTCGAACTCACAGAGATCCACCTGCCTCTGCCTCCTGAATGCTGGGATTAAAGGTGTGCGCCACCATGCTCAGTTCCCTTTTTCTTCTTCATCAGATCTGTGCTACAAATACCTCACCCACATCTGGAGCTGCCTTCACTCACCTTCCATGACATCATGTGACGACCAGAGCTTCTGTACTTTTAAGGATTTTCGAGACGAGGTCTCACTGTGAGCTCAGATAGGCCTCAAAGTCAAGCTAGCGCTTTTCTTTAAAGTAAGTGTTCTCTGTCTCGTTACACACTTTCCCGTGCACCCCGGTGTTCAGAAAGCAGCTTGCCCCTTTTCCTTCTGGAAACGGGCTTCGGTTTGACCTCTTAACCTTCAGATCCATAACCTGCCTCATATAAAATATGCTTGATATTCGTGAGTGCATTGTATGTGTGTTGTGTGTTATGCATGCACATTTATGTGTGCACGCACACGGGCGGGTACAAGTGTCATGTGATGCATTATGTTGTGTGTGTTTTATATGTTGTGTGTTTGCATGTATGTTGCCTCCATGGTGGCACGTGTGTGTATGTTGCATGTGTGTTGTGTATGTTGCATGTGTGTTGTGTGTGCGCATGCAGGTATGTGTGTAGTGTGTGTGTTGTGTATGTAGGGGGATGCATGTGGGGGCTAGTAGCTGATATATTGTCCTATATTGCTTCTCACTTTATTTTTTGAGACGATGCCTCTCGCTGACCCTGGAGATCACCAGTTGGGCCATGCTGGGATAAGAAGCGGCTACTACAACATCCGGCACTTTGCATGGGTTCCGGGGGATCAAACTCCGGTCCTCCTGTCGATGTGGCAAGCACTTTATCAACCAAGCCATCTCCCCAGCTCCTCCAGATAAAATTTTTATATGTGAGACAGGTGTCAGGATGAATATGCCCCTGTGGATATCCAGTGGCTGCTGGGACGTTTATTGAAGAGTAATGTTGTCAATCAAATGGCCATCCGTGTACAGATCTGGCCTCCATTCTGCCCTGAATGGCCCCCAGTCCCTCTGGGTGCCTATAGCACAGATTTCATGACTACGGCTTTTATGAGAGCCCATATCTAGACTCTATTTCATCCTTTCAACCTTGTCCTTCACCACCGCAGCAAAGTCCCCCCCCTCTAAGCAAGGCCGGCTTGTCTTTCTATTTATTTATTTGCCACTTTGTTTGCGCTTTTAGAATTCAAAATGAAAGATTGTACCAACACCTCCATATAGAACTAAAAGCAATGCTGATATTCTTTCTGTGCTTGAGACGGGGAGGAAGAGGGGCTGCTGCACACCCACGACTTGCCCCTCCTGGCGCCTCTCCATCCAGTTACTCGGTCGTCTGTTCGTTCCATATGTATTTATTGAGCTCCCGCTGTGCGAAGTGTAAGGGAAGGAAAACAGTTCTGAGCCGAGAAAAGACATGGGCATTGGGGAGATGGTTCTGCCCAAGTGCTGAGTTGATCAGCAGAACATCTGGAATTAAAAAATGCTGCCAGAGTCACATGTACCTATAATTCCAGTGCTGAGGAGGTGGACACAGGTGCAGCCCGGGGCTTGCTGGCTGATTAGCCTGGCAAAATTAATAAGCTCAGGGTTCAGAGCGACATCTCCCCCTCACACACACACACACACACACACACACACACACACACACTCACACGGGGGAGGAGGGACCCTTTAATGCTTCCAGTTTTGAGAAGACAAAGATTTCACTAACTACAAACAAATCATTGCATCCCAGATTCTGACACAGCGAGCAGGCCATGAAAGAGACTAGCAAGAGGGCCCCAGGCGTGTGGCTGGGGAAGGCTGAATACGGGAGGGGAGGGCTGCGCTGAGTGGGAGGTAAAACAGCACAGGGGTCCTGAGGTAGGCCAGTGCCAATCGGCCCTGAAAACAGCAGAAGGAGACACATGCCCTGGACACTCATGTCTTTCGTTTTTACCTCTCCCTTCGCTGCCCAGCCCCTGTTTTTCTTTCTTCTGTTTTCTTTCTAAGGGTGACCTGGAGCCACCAATTCTCCTGCCTCCACTCCAGCCCTCACTGTGCCTATGCTGTGTCACAGATGCCCACCGCACTACCTCGCTCAGGCGACATTTCTTACATGACGGCTTCATTTATAATTGACTCCCTCAGAGGTCGGCAGCTCCTGAAAGATGGGGATCGAGTCCTATCATTTCTTCCTTCCTTCCTTCCTTCCTTCCTTCCTTCCTTCCTTTCTTTTCTTTTCTTTTCTTTTCTTTTCTCAAATAATGTACTGTGCAGAGTGGGTGGTTGGGCATTGTTTGTGGAATGCCCCCTCCACATTTGGTTAGGATTTAAAGGTGCTTGTTCACACAGCCCACAAGTTCACCTCTGGCCTTTTGAAGAGATGAGTTATTTGCCTTGTTTAAGTGCAGGCAAGAGAAGGAAATCAAATTAATAACCCACGCAAGCATGCCCCAGACCTCCTGGTTTATGTTTAAAGACTTAACATCACCCATTTATTAACTTCTCCACTAATTTATAAGGGTCTCTAGCTCTTCGTTACCTAAAAATCCTTCCAGGGACATTGTAGGATGTAGGGAAACAAGGAAATAATTAGAATGATAATGTCTGCTGACCCTGGGGTCAGTGAAAGCAAAGAACTGGCTGTTATAGGCTGTATGCTCAACTGACTGCCTGCAGCCTTGTCATTAACAAGGTCAATAACGGAAGAGTCAGAAACTCTGGACACAAAGACAACATCGTGTGACAAATGTCATCCTTCATATACGGTGTCACTTTAACCCTATGTACAGTGGCAGCTCGCAGACCTGCTGCGGTGCTGGGAACGTAGGGTGGAGACATGCCCGCGTCCTCACTGTTCTGCCATTGGTGGTGTGGTCTCAGGAAAGCACATGACATAATGGCTCTTCAGCTTCTAAGGACACTGTGGCTACCACCCCTCACAGGACTGTCCTGGCCTCCCTCCCTCCTTTATTTTTTATTTTTTAAACTTTATTTATTTTTTAATTTTATATATATATAAAATATATATATATTCTGGGCACCAGATCTCATTATAGATGGGTATGAGCCATCATGTGGTTGCTGGGAATTGAACTCAGGACCTCCAGAACAGCAGTCAGTTCTCTTAACCTCTGAGCCATCTCTCCAGCCCTCCTCCCTCCTTTATTTGAGACAGGGTCTCATTATATACCCAAGGGTGACCCAGAACCAACAATCCTGCCTCCACTGCCCATCCTGGGCCCAGTGCTGTGCTATAAGTATGCCCCAACATGGGGTCTGTGAGTCAGTCTGAACTCCTACTTGTTTATGTAAAGTCTGTAGGCCAAGTGGTTTTTTTACATGTACGTGTCCATGTATGCACATGTTCATGTGGCTTGTGTGTGCAAGTGTGCTTGCAGGTGGAGGCCAGAGGTCGACACTGAGTGTTGTCTTTAACTGTTCTCCACCTTGCGTTTTGAGGCAGGGTCTCTCCCTGAACCCAGAGTGCACTGATTCAGTTAGGCTGGCCAGCCAGCAAGCCGCAGGGATTCTCCTGTATCTGTCTTCAGTGCCGGGATCACAGGCACATGTAGCTGTATGCAGCTTCTTACAGCAGTGCTGGGGATCTGAACCCGGGCCCTCACACGTCACTAACTGACCCATCCAGGTTACTTTTGACTCATTTTGGCCACAGCTTCCTATGGTGGAGTTTTCGCTTCCTAACAGAAACCCTCTGGGGCCACATGGAAACTTCAAAGGAAAGTGCCCCCGGGTGCATTCTGGGATGTTCTTTGAACTGTTTTGGCTTATCAAAAAGTTTGGGCTTAGAAGCCTCCTCTCCTTTCTCTAAAATGTCTTAGATAACCCAGGTTTCCTTTGGAAGTCAGAAGTCCATGACTGAGGTTTTCCTTTTTTTTAATGAGGCGTTCGCTGCCCGTGTGTGGGTATCTGAAGCTGCCTTCAGGAGTGAGGGCTTACTTCAAAGAGCCAGTCTTCACGCTGCGCGGAGCTCCTCTCCCGCTTTGGATGGCAATTCTCTTTAAGTATATTTCTGTCTGGGAGCTCGGCACAGGTGGGAACACTCATTTAGTATCAGCCGAAATATCTCCGCAGTGGCGAAAACAGTTGTCAGACACCAATGTTCACCCTGGACTAGGTGTCAGCATGAAATGCTCCATAGAGGCATTGCTGCCCTGATTCCCGCAAGGCACACAGTTCAGAGGAAGGTGAAAGATCACGCCCACAGCCTCCTCTGTAGGGCTGTTACGAGCCTACAGAGATTCATAGGCTTCGTTCTTCAAAGGACTAAAATTAGAAGGACCACATGTGACCCAGCTGTTGTCCTGGGTAGACGGCTGAGGGACTCTCAGCCAGGGGCCGCAGGGATAACTGCAAGCCCGTCTATCGCTGCAGTGTCTGCAACAGACGAACGGTGGAAGCAGCCTCAACGCCTGTCAACGGAGTGGTAGAGAAAGCATAGTACACACACACAATGGGGCTTAGTCAGCAGCCAAGAAGGAGGAAATCATGTGGCTTGCAGATCATTGTGCTAAATGAATAAGCCAGGCTCAGAGGAACATGGCATGCTTCCATGTATGGCAACTATCTATCTATCTATCTATCTATCCATCCATCCATCAATCTATCCATCTATCAATCTATCATCTACTTGCATTTATATAAAAGTATATGTATGCTTGATTTGAAAACAGAGGGATAACTGCCTTGGGAGACAAAGGGACTGAGAGGAGGGAGGAGGAAGAAAGGGTAAGTTAGGGAGATACAAAACATGTTTTCTCTCATGCGTAATCTAGACATATTTCTATATGTTATACAGATGTATATTACTCGGATATGCGTATTACATGGTGTCTTACTTAGGGTCCTTGGTTGCTGTGATGGACCCATGGCCAAAAGGACTTTCCAGGTACCAGTCCATCCCTGAGAGAAATCAAGCAGGAACCAGGAGGCAGGGACTGAAGCAGAAGCCACCAAGGAATGCTGCTTATTGACTTCATCCCCATGGCTTGCTCAGCTTGCTTTTGAACTTGCTCTCTGATCTCCTGCTAGGGATGGAACTACCCAGAGGGAGATGGGCCCTCTCATGTCCCTCGTTAATCAAGACAAAGTCCTATCGACGTGCCGACTGGCTGATCTGAAGGAAGTATTTCCTCAGTTGAGGGTCCCTCTTCACAGGTGACTCTGTCTGTGTCAAGTTAGCAGACCCCAGCCAGGACGATGTTGTATGGACATATTTTGCACGGATGTGTCTATTCTATCGTATCTCTATATAAATATGTTGTATGAACATGCATAGTCTATGGGTATACAGACGTGTGGCATGAAAGAAGAGGGATGGACTGTAGACCCTGGAACTTCACATCAGAAGAGAACTTTCAATGCTTAACTCGCTGTGGTCAAACATTTTGTCATAGCAGTGGGGGAATAATTAGCACAGCTCCCTAAGCCCAAGCTATATAAAGTGTGATTCAACTCTAATTAAGCGTGGTATCAAACTTGATCACAGCAGACACCAAGCCTTAAAAGAAACCAAATCGGCCATTTAATTTAGCATCTTCCTTATGAGTTACACACAATATTCTAGAATTTTCCCACACATTCTCTGAAAAGCAGGTAAAACAGACAAACAAAAAAAAATAAGTGTTGCGGAGAGGGCTCAGTCAGTAAAGCGCTCGTCACCCAAGCATGAGGACCTGAATTTGATTCCCAGAACCAACGTAAAAATCAGACATGGTGGCTTGTGACTGTAACCCTAGTAGCAGGGACAAGGCAACAGAGGGATCCCTAGGTCTTGCTGCTCAGTTAGCTTAGCCTAGTTGGTGAACTCAATACCAATGAGAAATCTGTCTTCAAAACCAAGGTGGAGGTTGGAGAGATGGCCCACTGTTTAAGTGCAGATATTGCTCTTCCCAAGGACCAAAGTTCTGTTCCCATCGCCCGCATCGGGAAGTGCCTGTAACTCCAACTCCAGGGAATGAAATGCCCTCTGGTATCTGAGAGTAAGGCATTCATATCACACACACATGCACACACACATACACTCACACACACACACATATGCACATGCGCGCACACACACACTAACAACATCCAAAACAAAGTGAATGGCATCTGAGCGTGGCTTTTGGCCGTCACGCAGACACAGAGACACATATGTGGTGCACATACACGGACACTCCCCCACACCCACACATGCACACAAACAGACAAAACATAAAACCCCGTCGCACTCTGCAACACGCCGCAGTGCAGAGCTTCTAGGACCTTGAGCTTTATCCTGCCCCGCTGTC